TCCCAGACCGTGTGGTATGCAACCTCACAGCCGCTGCGAGGAGAATGGAAACATCTGGAAGTCGCCCGCAAATGAACGGCGCTCCCAGTTAACGAGGAAACATGAGCCAAGGAGCCTGGGCAGCAACAGGATATCTGCTTCTCGTGTGCTGAACCAGATGCCTGCCCCTGCCCCCACCATCTCTCTTCCTCCCTCCCAAATAACCGTGCAGGGCCCAAGCGCTCAGAGACCCCACTCCGCCTCTGTGTGGATGGAGCCCTGGAGCCCCCAGCACAGCCTGCCCTCAAAGCAGCCAACGAGAGCGGCAAGCCCAAAGATAGGGCATCGCTCGCAGGGAAGGGAAATCCCCTCCAGCCCTGGCCATGCAGAAAGCACTGTCACAACGCCCACTGTCACCTACAGGTGGGCTCCTGGCACACTCCCACAGCCCTCCTTGGCTCACAGATGTGGGTCAGGGAAGGGCCACTGGCCAGACATGGAGAGAGGAAAGGAGACCAGGTGGAGAGACAAGGGGCATCCCAGAGAGGCCAAAGGCCACTAATGAATGAATTTTTCTCTACCATTGGAGAGCACCTTCCAGTGGCCGGGAGCCCGAAGCACTTTACAGCCCGCACTGTGGATGGAGAGCAGGCGGATACCCAGCCATTGAAAGGCAATTACCCTTAATAATAATAATATAATATAATGGAGATATCCTATCTCCTAGAACTAGAAGGGACCTTGAAAGGTCATCGAGTCCAGCCCCCTGCCTTCACTAGCAGGACCAAGTACTGATTTTGCCCCAGATTCCTAAGTGGCCCCCTCAAGGATTGAACTCACAACCCTGGGTTTAGCAGGCCAATGCTCAAACCACTGAGCTATCCCTCCCCCCTTTTAATAATTAATGGAGATATCCTTAAGGGTGGAAATCCAGCTGGTAGTTTTGCAACCAAACAAACGACCAGGAATTGTGATTCTCATATCCCTTCAACTGAGCAGGATTGGGTTGGGGTGCAACTGGGCTAGGAGACTGGGAGATATCCCAGCCTTAAGCTGGGCTTCAGCAGCCATCCTGCACCCAGCAGCTCTCTGTGACAGGGAAGAGAAGAATAACTGGAATCTCCTTCCTGATCAGGCCCAGCACCCTGGCCCCCTTCAAAGCCCATCTTGCAACAAGCCCCTCCATCAAACCCTAGGCGCGCGGACACGGCAAACACGAGGAGAGGGAGGAGACGTAGGGCAACGATAACTCAAAGTCAGACGGGGATCTAGCAAGACACACTCTGAGTTCTGCTGCCCAGTCACTTGGCTTTTCATTGCATCCCCACCCCTCACCTGTGCATTAGGTTGTAAACTCCTTGGGGCAGGGACCGTGTCTCCTGGTTTTCTCCATGCTTTCGATGCCACAGAAATCAGAGCTAATAATGACATCTCCTGCTGAAACTGTGGGGTCACTTGGACATCACAATGAGAGACAGGGTAGAAATGCCTATTGATTATTAATTATTAATTAATATTATTATTTATTTGTATTATAGGCGTGCCTGGAGGTGCCAGCTGTGATCAGGGCTCCATTGTGCTAGGTGCTGCACATATCACAGTGAGAGACTGTCCCCACTCCAAAGAGCTTACAGTCTAAATAGGCAAGACAGACAAAGGTAGAGGAAAGGAAGGATTATGTCCACATTTTCCAGGTGTCTAGAGGTGGAGGGAGGACTGTATGGAGTAAGTAATTACCTACTTTGGAATGGGGCTACCCGGGCTAACACCCCTGTGCTTGTGCCAGGGATCAAATGTCCTGGCTCCCTTTTAAGGCACTTTCCACAGCACAGCACAGCACCCCTTCCACTGTGCTGGGCTTGGGTTCAGTTCTGATTCAGAGTGACCCCACTGAATGGCCAGCGCCTCTGGTTGCAGCAGCCTGCATGTTCCTTGGAGGTCTCCTAGCCCAGTTGCACCCCAACCCAATCCTGCTCAGTTGAAGGGATATGAGAATCACAATTCCTGGTCGTTTGGTTGGTTGCAAAACTACCAGCTGGATTTCCACCCACTTTCCTGGAAACATAGTGGATCCTGCTGCCCTGGAACTCAGAGATGCTTAGAGTGTGGCGGAGGAGGGGACAGAGAGCAGGAGGAAGAGAGAGTGGACTCCCTGCAGCCCCTCCCTGTGGAGAGCGTTGCCCCCACCCCCATCTGGAAGAGATTTGTTCTGCATTCCCAAGCAGGGATGATTGCCACTCATCTGGAATCAGTGCTCCCCAGCACAGCCAGCACTGGGGAGAGTGGGGGGGCCCTTGAGACTACAATGGAGGCGCGGAGGTACCCATCCAGCCAAAGCCAGCTTTGGCTGAGTGGCTCCAGCTTGGGAGAGATGCAGACTGAAGGGGATGCACCATGACAGGGAATAGGATTCCCAGATCCCTCTGGGGATGAATGAGATCTGATGAAAGGGCCTATCCTGCCCCTCTCCCCACTTCAGATGGCTTCCTTTAGTGGGGCAGCTCCTCTGCCAGGGAGAAAGGGGTGTTTCAGACATCACCTCCTACCCCTCAAATCTGTAGGGCTGGCAGGTTTGCTACCCCAGTAATAAGTATTCCAGGAGCGCAGGCTTTGCTTGTTAATAATATGTTGCCCTAATGAATCTGATCTCCCCTCACCCCCATGAGACAGAAAAAATTATCCTTGTTTTACAGATGGGAAAACTGAGGCTGATTTACCCAGGTCTGTGGCAGAACCAGGAATGGAATCTAACTCTGCACGCTGTGTTTTAGCCCCAAGGCTATCCTCCCCCACTAACGCAGGCCTCACTGCCTGTGAGCGTGCACTCACACACAGTGCTATTAGTAGGACTCTCCATCCCATCCCTGGCCCACAATATTACATGGGGCCACAAGTAGCCTATCCAAACTTCATCAAAACCAGCCATAACAGTGAAACTCCCCAGAATCCTATCAATTTTGTGCTGCTGCTTGGAAAAATTCAGAGCAGCTGTAGAGGAATTCTGAGCAGTCTGCAGACTCTGGAAGGTGACACAGCTCCTAACTTCCCCAAGCAGCACTAGCTACTCATGCATTGGAGCTAGTCATGTGGAAAGGGGAACCAAAGAGCAGAGGCCCGGGAAGGGGTGGAGAAGTGGTAGCAGCAGAGGCTCTGGAGGGTGTAAAAGAGATAGACATCTTCCCCTACCAGGAGCTAGAAGAGGATAGAGCTTCAAACTGATCAGACACTTTGTAGACAGAGGCCCATATCAAAGATGGAGTTTCCCAAGCAGAGTCCAGGGACAGCACCCTGGCATAATCTCAGCAGCACCCAGGTGGAGATGCCAAGGGTCTGAGCTTCATTCCCATCTTCCATTTCTCCCTCTGGCTAGCAGCTGTGTAGCAATTTTTTCATGCCTGCCCTACTCAGTGCCAGAGAGCCCCATCTCCCCTCCTCTACCCAAAGGCCCCACATTGTGCCACCAGTGGGACCCTCCATTCCATTCTGGCCCAGAGCTCCCACACAGAGCCACAGGATCTCATCCCACCTCTACCTTGTACCTCCTATCAACCAGACACTCCGCCCTACCTCTCCCAGGAGACTCCTCTCATGATGACCTTAATGCAACATTCCCTCCCGCAGGATTTTTCACCACACTCCTGTAAAGGGACAAACCCCTGGCGATACCATGGAGATGATCCATACAAGTGCAGAAACCCTACGCAGTAACCCCAGTAGGATCCTCCATCCCCACCCTACACAGTGCCACCAATGAGACCCTCCAGCCTTACCCTGCACAGGGCCACTAATGAGACCCTCTGTGATGTCCCAGGTCTTGAACTCAGGCCTGGGCCACCCCAGACAGCTGCCACATCCTGGCCTCCCAAGGTCTGTCAAAACCTGGTGGACTGAGAAGCTAGTAGGACTATAGCCTCAGCCAAGGCACCACCCACAGGGGCCCTGAGTGGAGGATCCCCCGGCTCCACCGATTGGTCCAACCACACTTTTCAAGCCAGAAGGAGGCACAGGAAGTTTGTCTGAGTGACAAGGTGATTTCCTGTTGTGGCAACATTGGACCCTATTTGTGCCTGCCTCTTGCACCCAGTCCTGTTCCTGATTCCTGCTTGGTCCTGCCTTTGCTACTGTTTCCACGGTGCTCCTGCTCTGTGCTTGATCCTTGTCTCTTCTCCTATTCCTGCCCTTAGGCCTCACCTCCAGCCATCAGTTACCAGTCCTAGCTCTGACTTCTGACTCAACTCTGACTTGGCCCCAGCTCTGGTAACTGGCAGTTGACTCTCATGCAGACTCTTGGCTTTGTTCCCCAACCTGGACTCCTGCTCTGACTACTAGGCAAGATTGCCTACATCGCGCTCCGTAACACCATCTTTCCTGACCCTGCACACTGCTGCCAGTGAAACCCTCTGCCCCCACCCTGATCAGTGCTCCTAAGAGGACCTTCCTTCCAACTCTACCCAGAGACCCTGCCCAATTCTACTAATGGGACCCTCCCTCCAAGCCACCCGGAGCTCTCCCCATCCCTTGCTGGTAAGAAGGGGATGTGTGTGGCAGGGGCAATCCTGGAGTAAAAGTATAGTGGGGGAGGTGAATCTCAGAGCTCTCAAGGACTGGGACACCCTCAGACATGTTCTTAGTGAGGTGTGCATCACACGGCAATTCTTAGCCTTGCGGGCCACACCCAGTCACCTGTGGGCAGTGCTGTCCCACGGCACATACAGGCTGGGGCAAGGGACCGCCGACCCAACCATGGCTTCCTGACAGACAGACTCAACTAGACGCAGGCGTTCTCTGAGGCTGTTCTCTTGATGAGGGTGAAATGCTGCCGACCCAGGCAGAAGGGGTAGTGGGGAGGGAGGGGGCAGAACAGGCGGTCCTGCAATCTTTTCTCCTGGACAGTTGGACTAACTCCCTCTTTTTCTCTGGCCTCCTTTCCCAGACAGCTGGGGATTGGTCAGTAAATGTGGAGACCCCACCCACTGCTCCCACATCCCCTCCCCATTCCCTTCTCCCTCCCTCCACTGGCACCCGTGCTCCTGCACAGCCGCCAAGGAACAGCGCAGAGAAGGGGGAGACTGCTGAGGAGCCAGCCCCCAAGCAGTGGGAAAAGGGGGTCACCTCCCCTGGGAGCAGCAGCAATTTACCAAGAGCCACGGGGAACGTTTGAAACCTCGGAGAACTTTTCTTTTTTAAAACCTCTTTTTTTTTTCAAAAAGGTAAAAGCTAAAGTTAAGACTTGACGGGCATGGGGGAAAGTTCAGTGGAGCAGAGGGCAAGCAAAGGAAGGCGCGTGTGGGGGGTGTTGGAGAACAGGGGGTCTGAAGGAGGGGGTAGGGAATGGGGGAAAGGGAAATATGGCAGAAGAAGGGGAAGGGAAATGGGGAATGTGGAAGGAGGGGGAGGAGAGGAAGGAGGATATGGCAGAAGAGGGAGGATGGGGGGGTGGAGGGAGGGACGCAGAAGAAGAGGGGGAAGAAGGGGCACTGAGGCAGCAGGAGAGCTGGGAGGGTTGTAGGGTTCCCTCTGCCTTCCTACGCTCAGCTGTGGCCACCCATTCCTGCAAGGTCTGAGAGAGACTTTTTTTTCCTAACAGGAAAGGGAGTCGTTTTTTGTTTTGTTTTGTTTTGTTTTGTTTTGTTTTGGGGGGGGAGGGGAATGGCCAAAAAGTGCTGCATTTGGAATTCCAGCCTCAGCCTCAAAGTGGGTCTGTTCGGAAAACCCCCTACGTGATCTATATATATAGCAGCAGGCGGCCCGAGAGCTCAGCGTTGCTTTATTCCAGCACATGCAGTCTGCATTTCTCCTGCACTTAGAGGAGATGGAGATGGTCCTGTCTAGGCCATTCAGCACTGGGCCGTCCCCTATAGCGTCCCCTATAGCATGCTTCAGTCTGGCTCTACATGACCCAAGCAATGGGGCTGCTGTTTCCTCTGGGAGACTCTTCCACAGCTTGATAGACCCTCCCGGCTAGGAATGTTCTCCCAATTTCCAGCCCAAATTTCCCTTTGCTCCTCCCCATCCCGGTGCTCCACAGACCACCCTGGACATCTCCTCTCTCTCCTGGGCCTTTACGCCCTTGGGGCGGGCATGTGGTGGGGGAGTCTGCGTTTGGCAGTCCTGCCCGTCTGGATCACTTTTCCCCTCTCTGTTTTCCTCCCATCCCAGCGGAGACAAATCAATGGAAACCAGCTGAAGTTAGGGAGAAGGGAGGCTGGAGAGGGGGAGAGATGTTGGCAGTCTGATTGTGGCTTGCCTTTTGGGGCCCCTTGGGGAAAGGGGAGACGAGGAGCTGTTGGAGAGGGAGAGGGCCCAGCCGTTGCAGTGATGGGCTGTAACACAGACACAGTAGGAGGAATAGAACGCCCGCCCTGGCTGACCCTTTGCTCAGAGAATCACGAGTTTCACTTGGATGAAAGAATGACTGGAGTGGAGCTGAAAACGAGAGAGACCAGGTGGGAAGGCAGGGTTCTGAGTGCCTCTGTTGATTTTGGATGGCCACACACCAGCGAGGGCTGGCAGGCAAGAAGGAAAGGGGTGACAGGGACAGGCCGGAGACAGAAGGCCTGCCCTGCAGCCTGGGTTTGGCATTGCAGGGGAGGGCAGTGCCAGCTAGAGGCAGTGGGGGCTGCTGAAATCCAGACTGTGGCTGTGGGCTAGTCATTTTTGTGGTAGTGAGGGAAAGAACGAAGGGGAAAAAAGTACCCGCCTCCTCCTCCACGGATCCCGCCAAGCAGGGAATGGGCCCACAACCCCTAGCCCGATGGGCCTTTTGCTGAACACCACCTCTCTCCTGCCCCCTTTCCCTCTTCTTTCTGATCTGACCCCACTGTAGCCTTGAGCATCTGGGCCCCATGTGCCCCAGGTAGCGGGAGACTCCTGGGAGGGCGGGAATGCAGGGGCACAGCTCATCCCCTCTCCTTGTTCTCTGAGCCTGGCCCAAGGCCAGGGGAGCTGGAGTGCTGGGAACCGTCTCAACCGCCCCATTGCCTGCTCTGCAGGGGGGCTTGGCTCTTCCTGGCCCCCGGATAGCTCAGCGAGGCTGCAGGGGGCGGGCAGGGCCCCAGCAAATTCCCCTGCTCTCCCCACCCCCGTCTTTTTCTTGCCTGGCCCAGTGGGTGGAAGCTGTGGATGGGGTGAGGGGTCTTCATGGGGGGAGGGGTGGAGCCAACCCCCCAGCTGGAGGAGGTGGGGAATTCACAAAGCCCAGCCCAGTAGGAGCCCAGCCCAGAGGGGAATCCTGGATCCCCATTGTAGCCAGGCCTGGCTGATCCCCCACCCCCCCCCCCCCCTCCCCCGCCGCCGCACACACACAGACACCACATGCCTGGCAGGTCTCAGCTGGGAAGGGAGAGCTCCCCCAGTTTCTCCATCAGCAAGGACGCAGGGCCCTGGGAACCATGGGGATAGAGGACCCAGGGAAACAGGCTCCCTGCCCCCCCATCCCCAGGGAAACAGCCAATGGTTGCAGTGGATTTCAAGGGGAGTTTTGTTTTCCATTTGCCTACCTCTACCCCCTGGCAGATAAGAGGGGCCCTGGGTGAGCAAACAAGGCTGGGGTGGGGAAGGACACGTGGCGCCAGTGGTGACGGAGACTCGTGGCCAGCGTTCCCAGAGCATAGCCCTCCCTGGCACCTGCTCCCTGTCAAGGTGACTTGCAGGCAGCAGCACAGGGGCACGTGGCGGGGAGAGGAGCACAGAGCGGGAGGCTGAAATGGGCTAGAAATGCGGCTGGGGACAGGACAAAGGGTGGCTCTGTTGGGGACAGAGGCCAAGGAGCACTGGAAATGCCACTGGTGGGGGGTATCAGCTGGGTTTATCATTGATCTCCTGGAGTCTATTCTGGCATTCCTCCTCCTCCCCCATCCTACTTCCTCCCACCATCAACCCCCCTAGTCCCGTGCACACACAGCCACAGAGGGTATCTGTGCTCTCCAGCTGCAAGGCAGAACCTCAGGGGCTGGGCTGTAGGTAATCTCACCCCCAGCCCTCCAAGAGTCCTCCAGACCCTAGCCTGGCCAGCAGCCTGTCTGGCTCACTCCTCAAGGCAGTGTGATCTCCCTGCCACTAATCCTGCTGAAAGGACCCAGCCCTGCACCTCAGTGTAGGAACCAAGGTGTCTTCAGCCTCTGGCCCCAGGGCTGATCTTACCTGGGCAGAGGGGACATGCCAAGGTGCCAGCGGCCTTTGGCCCATTGATTATTCGCCTGCTGTGTTGGCAGAGGACTGCTCAGTGGAGGCCTGGAGTGGAGCAGCCTCCAGGGGATTCTGAAATGGCAACACTCCACAATGCAAAGCTGATCTGAACAGCTACCCTGACCCATTCAGAGCTGGAAAGCAAGACTGGGAGTCTGCTAGGAGAGAAACTTGGCTTAACCTGGGAGTCTGCCTACTTATTTCCAGCATGCCTATCGCTATAATATTTAGGGACAGATCTGTGCACAGACTGAGAGCTGGCTTCCAATCCCAGCTTGGCCACTGGCTGGTTTGCTGACCTTGGACAAGTTACATTACCTCTCTGTGACTCAGTTTCCCTGCCTCCAGAATGGGGGGGTGCAGGAGCTGATGTTTAATACGGTAGCATTGGTGAAGTGCTTTGTGAACCTTGGAGAGAAGTTGCCATAGAAATGCAAACAACTTCCCTAGTAATCATAATACTTAATGTATTTCTTTCCCCTTCTAGCTACCCCGGGGTTGGGCTCGGGAACAGGTCTGGGGGATACAAGTTCAGCAGTGGGGTCGGACATAGGTCAGGCGCAGGTGCGGGGGTGGGCGGGCTTAGGGTCGGGGGTGGGTACAGGTTCAGAGGCGGGGTCAGGGGTGGGGTCGGGCGCAGGTTTGAAGGCAGGTGCAGGGGCGGGGGCGGGCGCAGGTTCGGGGTTGAGCACAGGTTCAGAGGTAAGTGCAGTTGCAGGGGTGGTGTTGGGCACAGGTCCGGAGTGTCCATTCTTATTGCACCTGGCCCGTCCCTCCCAGGCGTTGGCATTACCCATTCCTGGCAGGAACCCCGCAGAGCAACCCGGTAACTCATTCCTGCAGCCAGAACAGTCAGAAAATCTCAGCCTGGGCCTTTACCTTTGCTGTTGTCATTTTTAGGCCATCTTACATCAGGATCAAGGAGTTTGCCCTGAGATCCCCCCTTCGGCTGTGACCTGCTGCCCCGTCTGCCAGCCGCTCCCACGCTAGCAGGCAGCGGGGGCGGAAGCGGGGAGACGGAGGATGGCCGATTAACATTAATCCCCAGCTTTGCTTACTTCCAGCCACACGAGAGCTCCAGCAGCAGCAGCCAGGGTGACGACTGACTCCTTGGAGATCCCTTTGCCCCAGCCTTGCCGTCCTACCTGCCCAGGGCCAAGCAGGACTCCCCACACCCACCCTGGGGCTCTTCCTGGAGATATGAGGATCCAGAGGCCTGCACTCAATAGCAGAAGCTGCCAGGGGTGAGCCGTTTCGGAAAAGCCTCCCCTGGGCAGTTTAATGAGTGCTGTGGAGAGCAATTATCCAGAAGGAGTGCCGAACCGGAGAAAAGACAGTCCCACGCTCCCCCCGGCAGCTCTAAGGCATCTCCAAAGATCGGGAGCAGGGGCTGGTCCTGGGAGCAGCTCCCCGGTCCAGGACACGACACGGCCGAAAGGAGGGGGTAGCATGAGTGATGGGGAGTCCGGGGGCGTGACAAGCCACTGTGACCCCTCTGGAATTTGTGGCCCCCCACACTGAAGGCCAGTTTCCTGTGTTTTAGGGGAGAGGGTGTGGAGTAACAACGGGGTGTGACATGAGTCTTGGGAAGCTACCGGTGCTCGGCTGGGTGTCGGGCTCCCATGGCAAACGGCGGTTGAAATCGGAGCTGACGACGGACATGATCAGCCCACCGCTGGGGGATTTCCGGCACACCATGCACGTGGGGCGTGGCGGGGACGTCTTCGGGGACACCTCCTTCCTCAGCAACCACGGCGGCACCGAGACGGCCAAAGCCAACAACTTCTTCACCCGGACCCTGCGGCACGTGCGAAGGACGCCGCTGAGGAACCGGGGCAGCGGGAGCAAGGCCGAAGCCTCGCCCGCCCCCCCAGACATCTCACCCATCATCAAGAACGCTGTGTCGCTGCCGCAGCTCAACGAGGGGACCTATGGGGGTGGCAGCCCGGCTGGGAAGTTTGCCTTCAAGAGCACTCTAAACAACGTGTCCGATACACACTATGCTTATGGTGAGTAGTCCTGTAGCGGGGGCATGGGCTTCCGAGACTTCAGTGCTATTCCCAGCTGTGTCGCTGAAACCAGGGCAAGTCCCTGCCCCCCCTCCCATGCCTCAGTTTCCCCATCTGTGCAGTCTCCATCTCTGGATGGACCGGACTATTGAAGAGCTATGATCAAGGGAGTTCCTGGTCCCGGTGAATCCCAGAATTATCCTTTTCTGAGTTACGCCCTTAGCCCCCAGTTGTTCCTCCCCCGCACCCACTTCCCCTTCGACTTCACCTGTTAAAGGCCCTGCAGAGCTCAGGCCATTATGGGTGGGATATAGTTTCTCACCTCTGATCCACCAGCTCCAGTCCAGTGCTGGGATGGTAGTAACACTAGGTTATTCCCATCCGATGGCCAATTGGTGGCCTGTGGGAAATGAGTCGGGGGGGGAGGGGGAGCAGGTCTCGAGCCACCTCCTATGAGAGAAACTTGTTCACAGACAGCAAGGGAGACTCACTGTCCCCCTGGCAGCTTCAGGGTGCGAACGGGCCACAGAGCCTGCGTGCCCCACTGGGAATGGTCCATCCAGTGTGGAGGGGAAGCACTGGGGGAGAGGCTTTGCTGCTGGCGTTCACACAGAAGGGCCGTCTCCAGCCCCACAGTGAAGAAAGGAGTGGGGGGTGATTTAGGTGAACTTCACTGCTCCCGGGAGTAGGCAGCAGGCGATGCCCCCACAGCCAGCCAGCCAGCTCTGCTGACACAGCCCAGTGGGAGGCAGTGGCCTAATGGTTAAAGCACCGGATTGGGAGTCAGGAGACCTGGGTTCTGTCCCTCCCAGCTCTGTCCCTGGCCTGCTGGGTGACCTTGGGCAAGTCACTTCCCTGTCCCGTGCCTCAGTTTCCCCATCTGTAAAATGGGGAGGATGTAAAAGGCTTTAACATCTGCTGAGGAAATGCGCTGCATAAGAGCTGGGCACTGTTACTATTTCTGGGCCTGCAGCCCCCCCGCTTATCCAGTGCCCCCCCTCCATGCCCCCAATGGCTCTGCTGATGCTCCTCCCGGTTGCCCTGTTCCAGCCCTGGCTCCCTGCCCAGTCCCCTCAGTCCTGGCTACGTCTGAGCGACGCTCTGGCGGGTGCCGGGGGCTGGGTTCTTTAGCACAAAGGCCGCGTTCTCCAAACGCAGTGGCCCAGCTCAGCATTTCCCGTGGCGCTAATTCTCAGGTCAGTGTGACCCGTGTGGGAGTGGCTGGGCCTGGGCCAGGGACGGGCAGCGAAGGTGGCATGGTGCAATGCTGCCACCTGCTGGTCACAGGTTATACAGCCATTCCAGTGGAAATAGTTTCCCAGGGCTGATCACCCGTCACCCTCTCGACTCTTGGCAGAGACCAGTTCCAGCACCGTGCTGTTATCTTCCGATTTGGCTGGGCCATGGGTGTCCGGCACCGAGCCGTCCTTAAACAGCGGGACTGATTCCCATCTTCCCTAGCACCGGCTAGTCACGTTACAGTGGAGTGTAACTAGTGCTAGTTTTCACTAGTACAAGCCGGACTTTCCCAATACTGAGCAGGCACTAGATGGTGAAATTGCTCCTAGGCTGTCTAGCAAAGTGATCCATATGAGAGTGATTGATCCCAATATCGCCCAGCTGACATGAGTGTGACTTGTCTATCCCCGTTCACATACAGTCACTGGTCCCAGGCTCCCATAGTACAGCCTAGTCCGTCACCACCCAGTGTGACAGTCGCTGCCTCCCCCTGGCTCTTGCGCAGTGCCAGAGGCTTCCCACTCACCAGAGGCTCCTTGTCCTTTCAGGGCTGGAGTCCGGGTTCTGCACCATCCCGCGTGCTCCGCGCTCAGAGAAGGCCCGGGAGAGCTCCTTCCCCGCAGAAGCAGAGCTCCAGCGCTCGGACTCCCTGCTGTCCTTCCGCCTGGACCTCGGGCCCTCCCTCATGAGCGAGCTCCTCCAGGTCATCAGCTTTACAGAAGCCATGGACAGCAGTGACAAGAGGGAGGAAGCCAGGGCCCTGGCTGGCGGCCAGGCTGCGTCGCCCTTTGCCCTGCATGGCGAGTGGGTTGAGGCCGGGGTCCCTCGGGGATCAGGGACACCCAATGCCAGGTGTATAGAGGGCGACATGGCAGAAAGCTTCTGGGGCCGCTCCAGGCAGGGGGCCAGCTCCCCATCGGGACACTTGGTGCATGCCAATGGAGATGCTCGTGCCCTAGAGCATGCTGAGGAGGGGCCTGCCTATGCTGGGAGCAGGCACCAGAGCCCTGCCTGGGGCTCAGCACCCGCTGAGGAGCCGGGGGCGCTCCCAAAAGACAGCCTGTGGCAGGGGCACTGGAATGACTGCAGCATGGAGGCGGGAGAGTTCCACCGGGCTGCCCAGGTCCTGGCTCGCCACTACAGCGCGAGAGGTGCACATGGCAGCCTGGAGGAAGAGGAGGAGGGGCCCCGGGAGAGCCCGGTTGTCGGCTCGTGCGGGGCGGATGAGGCTGGGTGGAGTCACAGCGAGGAGGAGGAGGAGGAGGAAGAGGAGGCTGCGCTCTCAGCTGTGCGGGAGGGGGAGGCCACGGTTGCGGAGGGCTGCAGCGACTCCTTTGAGTACGCCGACGAGGAGGAAGAGGATGATGAAGTGAAGGTCTGAACAGCCACCGTCTCCTGTGGCCTTGGGACTCCCCAGCCCTCCCCCAGAGATGTCAGCTGTCCAGGGGCCAGCACCCCTTGGGAGCTGTGAACCCTCCTGCGGCAGAGGGTTGGTGGGGATGGAGGCAGGGGAAGCAGCTCTTTGATCCGCCCAGCGCCCTGGGCAGGCCCCGCCTTCCCCAAAGAGCAGGTCATGCTAATGGGGAAATCGCAGTGATCGCATGCTCCTTCCCCCCACTCCTTGCTGTCATTGGAAATGAGGCGCCCGCCCCCTGGGAGGCTGGGTTGGTAAGGGAATGCTCCTGTCAGGTCACCGAGCCCCCAGCAAGCACCGAACAGGAGCGGATCAGAGAAAGCACTCCAGCCACACGGCTCGCTGCCCCGCAACCCCCTGAGCTTGAGGCCTGGGGCAGGCTTGCTTTCTGAGCTGGCCACCCCAGGCTGGAGCAACACAGCATTCACATTCTCCCTCTCCCTCTCCCTCTCCCTGGGGCCTGAGCGCTCTTGGCTGGGGATTGAACCGGGTTCTGCCATGCAGCACCACACAGCACTGTTCGTGAATGGGCTGGGCTACTCTCACACAGCTCCTACCAGCCCTCGCCAGTTCTTTTGCCTTCAGCCAGCGGCCATGCCAGCTGGGCTAGCTAATTCCTGGTTCCCTCCTGCCAAGGCCTGCCCTAGCAAGCCAGTTCAGGGGCCTCCCCTCCCCCCTGAGGCCATTCCAAGGGCACAGCAATCCGGTTCCTCTCCCCTCCCCTCCCCTCCCCATGGAACAGGCAGCAGAGTGGGGAGTCCTTCCACCTGAGTGGGGTGGCCCTCCTTCCTTGAGCTGATGCAGGGCTGGGCTCAGGGAGAAAGGCAGGTGTGGCTCCTATCCTCCAGCAGTACCTTGAGCTGGAGGCTCTGAGGCTGGCTCCAGAGAGCCAGCTGCTCCACTCTACAGATTTGGGGAGGAGCTCCCCCTGCCCCACCCCCCAAGTTCCTGCCACACTGTGCTCAGGGAGGTGCTCAGAGCAGCAATACAGGAGTCTCAGTGGGGGTGGGGGTGCAGCCAGCAATGACTTGGTATCCGAATGCAGCACAGCCGGGGAAATCATGCCATGGCCCTTAACCTGGGCACCAAGGAGCCCTGCTGGAGTCAGGCACCAAAACTCATGAGATTTTTCAAAGCTATAACTGGTGGGTTCTTTCCATTTGCCCTCCGGTGCTGGACTGCGCAGAGGGGCCGTTTTCAAGGTTTCCCCCACAACCAGGAGAGCTAGAAACTTCCTGTTGTGTAATGAAAGCTGGGAGGCTCAGGCAGTAACTGGCTTTGGCAGCTGGGCCTTCAGGGGAAACACCAAATAGCGCTAGAGTTGGCAATGCTGCGATTCCAGTAATCAGGCAGAATAAGGACAATGCCAGGGTCCCGCTGCCCCTGCCCCGGTAGACCCCTCCATACCCCAGAGGGGACACCCTCAAACTCCAATACTCCCTTTCACCCCCTCTTAGAACAAGAACATTTTCTCTGTGCTATAGCATTCATCCCAGGCAGTTGAAAGGGGGGCTGCCCTTGGTCTGGGCAGCGGTTCCAGGGATGGGTTCCCACTGACACTATTTAGAGGGGTCTAAACTCGCCCCCCTCCAACACACTTCCCCTTTCCGGTGTCCTTTTGCCGGCGGGGGATGGGGGCTGCTCACTGTGCTCCTTGTGTCTCTGGGCAACGCGGCCTCTTTGGAAGGAGCCACTCCCCACGCTGTCCCGCGTGCGGACACGCTCACACAGAGGGTGTTTTGTGCCACGGCCCGGAGCAGGAATGACTGGGGGGTGAGGTCATTCCACTGGCCCGCACAGCATGCCCATTGTTCGCCCAGGGCCCGTGAGCCTGTGGCCGGAGGGATCCCGTGCCCACGCTCCCACTGCCCAGTCGCCCCGGGGGGCTGTGTCTGTCAGGGAGCACCTGAGAGTATAATAACCAGGCTTTGATGCCGGGGGGGTGGGTGGGAAGCGTCGCATCCTAGGAGCCCGTTCTGCTCCCCACACAGGCCCTGGAGCTGCCAGCTGACTGATCTCATCACACTACAGGCAGCTGCTCAGCCATGGGGGGAGAGAGGGCTGAAGTGAACGGGAGCTCCAAGTGCCCAGCAGGGCTCTAGAGTGTAGAGTCCAGAGCCTGCAACCATTGCTACCCATCACTGCCCCCACCCTGGGAGCCAGGGTCTTTCTCAGGCTCACCCTGCTCATTCAAGCTTGTCACAGAAGCTCCATACCAAAGATCCATCCCCAAGGAACATCCCAGCTGTCTCCCTCCGCAGCCTGTGCACTTATTATTGATCTTATTAAAACAGTTTTGATACTATTCTCTCCTGTGGTGGTTCTTCCCCATGCCCCAGCCAGCCCCAGGATTTCAGCCTGCAGAGCAGCAGCAAATCAGTCCATTCCCTCTGCACTTTCAGACTCCAGGGAGTCATCTCCTCCCAGCTCCAAGTGCCTGAACCCCCTCCCTGCATTGGTATTCTCTGCCCTTCCAGTCCTGGGCCTCCTGGGAAAATAGGATTTGCTACCCCATCTCAGATCACTGGACCAGCCATTCTGGTCCCTACGCTCCTGCTGTAACCCATACATGTTGCATCAGAGGAAAGCAAAACCCCAATAATGCTGGCCAGGGTGAGGAGATTCCACCTTGACCTCAGCAGAGATCCATTTACACTTCGCATCTAGAGCCCTGATTACCCTACTCATAGCCAGCCTGGCTACAAATGTTATCAACCAGCCCTAGCACTTGAGCCTGTAGCAGTGAGTTCCACAGGCCGACAACATATTTTATGAAAGTTATTTGTTCTGCATTTTACTGAATGACCCTCTCAGACACTGGAGCAGGGTGGAAGTAGAAGGGAAGGAGCAGTGTGTGCTCCTTCAGTGGAGTCTCTCTAAATATCAGTCTCTTCCATGCTTGGCCTTTGTCGACTAAATAACCCTAACATTTGCTATCCTTATATCCTGAGCATAGCGTTAGCCATATGCATTGCCAGACTGGATCCAACCTGAGGGCCGTGTAGCCCAGTATCCTATCTCTGACCGTGGCCAGCAGCAGATGCTGGAGAGGAAGGGGTAAGAACCCTGCACTAGTCAGCTATGGATGAGCCGTCCCAGTTCTTCCTCACCCCCACTTGTTAGAAGTTGGCTCTTTTCTGAAGCCACTTTAAACCTAGTGAGGCATGTTCCTTTGTGGGGCTGTGGGGGGGTCACATCTAATGTCTGTTTTCCCTGTGCTGGGAACCCCTTGTCCTGTACTGTCAGAGGGTAAGACTGCCCCCTGCTGGTACCAAAGACTGTTCCTATATTTCAGATGTATGGGGTGGAGAGGAGTTACCCATAATGCTTCAAGCCAGTTTTTCTCCAGAGCCATTCCCCCCGTGGCATGTGAACCTCTGGAGTGAGTCACTGTAACTTTAACCAGAGCGGTTTCACCAGACATTAGGTAGTGCCGGCCCATGTGAAGGACTCAAGCTGACACAGGTTTCATTCCCTTGCCATTCCAAAGCCTCCCCCTCTCTCTCGCCCACACTGACTGAGATAAGATATGAGAAAGGCTGGGTAATGGATAACTTGGCTGGAATTTCCCAGCCGATAAGAGACACAGCGATAAGAATGAAGGAGATAGAGGAATATTCTCCTTATCTCTTGCTGGATACAAGCGCTTATTAACACCTGTGCAGTTGCATCCTCAATGCTGTGCCTGGTGCCAGGGGGAGGGTCAAGCCACCTCTCACACCAGCTGGTGGGGAAATTCCATGTTTAGGGACAGCATCCCCTATTAGTACCAAGGGGAGACAATCTCCCCCTGCACTGGTAGTGTTCCCCAGCCTGGAGACAGAGCGCTCTGCAGGTGCAGGACATTCCCATCCTCCTACTGAGATAAGCCCTGGGCTTTGTCTCCCACCTGGCCCTCAGTTCATCCCAGCCTGCTGAAAGCGCAACCCGCAACCTAGCCTTACCAAAGAATCATTTCCTTCCTTTGCACACTCAGGCTTGGGAACTCCTCTGCACTCTGTCAGTGCACCCCAGGGCAGCGCCCCCTTCTGGTGCCCTGGAGACACTTTCATCCCAGCCACTGTCTCCCACTCCACTAATCACACCCATAGGTGCCTAGAGAAGACGTCCTACCAGAATAGCGGACATCCGCCTCTTCCCAGCAGATGGTGAGCCCGGTTTGGGGTGATCCCATGAGAACCTTTCCTGTATTGGGTGCTGAGAGGTCATGGCCAAGGACATCACAGGAGCCAGCACAGTTGGGACAAAATGGCCCCTCACCAGTGGTCTTTATTAGAGCAGGGAAGCGGGGCCCATCATTCTTGTTTGAAGGAGATGACTTTGAACCCACCCTGCACACTCAGGTAGCTGATCTTGTCGTAGCCGTGCCGGTTGGGGAATTCCACCTCATGCCCGTCCGGCAGCTTCACCTTGAACTTGTCTCCCAGGAAGCTGACGATAAACTGCGAGAGCGGGGAGCAAGGAAAGGACAGGAACGGGGAGGGGAGTTAGCATCAAAAGCAAACAACTGGCTGGCAACAGCAAGCACCTGTCCCTACTGCCTGGGCGGAGAGGCCCCGATTCTGCTGGCCTTAGGCAAGGTGCTGGGAGCTGAGCTCACTAAACGCGTTGCAGGGTTGGGTGCCAGAGGCCCAGATCCTCAAAGGTATTTAGGCACCTAACTCCCATTGAAATCAGAGCAATCTGCTTGTCTCAGGAAGTTGAGCTCTTGCCTAAACCGGGAGACTGGGGGCAACGTCTCCCCCACCGCTGCTAATGCTGGTTCAGCTGCACTGGCAGTGCCAACACAGGGAGCCCTAGTGTAGACAAGGCTCCTGCGCCCACCACTGTTTTAAAGCACTGCGTTGCTTAGGCCTGCTCTGGACCGGGTGGGACAGCACATGAAATACCAGTGGCTGCGGGAGCCTTGCCCCACTGGCTCTCCCACTGTTACCCCACCAATGGATCTGACTTGGGGTTAGCAACAGTGGGGAAATGCCACTTCTAGCTCACAGCGCAGACAGTGCGAGGTTCAAAGAACAAAACTAATAACTGATCACTGGAAATGAATCGTCTCCTTCCCGTGGGCACTCCCCTGCCCCACCCAGCCCAGCCCGGGGAGCGCTGGGCAAGGAGAAGGAACCGTTTCCAAGCCACAGAGAAACCGGATGATCTAACTGTGCAATGCTAAGAGGCAAACAAAGAGCTGCCCAAGGAGAAGGGAGCAGGGAGGCCCAAGAATCTCATTCTACAAAGCACTGGAGGGAAGAAAATAAGGGGTGGGAGCAGGGAGAGAATGATGGAGACAGATCCGAGGGGGAAGAGGGATCTGCTCCCTACAGCCCTCTCCCTCCCCCAGTGAAGGCGTGAGCACCTGCTGGGCAGAGGCACGGGGGCTCTCGAAGGCAGGTCACAGGCAGCCTTTAGGAGGCCTCCAGCATGGGCAGGGTTAAATGGTGAGAGAACAGGGTCTGTGGGGATTGGGACTCTGAGCAGGCTGATGAGGAGGGTTCAGGGTCGCAGGAGCCAGAGACGCCGGCAGGGAGAAACAACGCCAGCCAGGAGGGGAAGAAAGGGGGCAGAGTAAGAGCTTGGCAGCTCATCCAGCCACCCCCCCCGCCCTGCTTTCCCAGGAGCTGCCTCACCTTGACCTCCGAGCCCCGGGAGAACGGCAGGTGGTTGTCGCGGTACTCCGACTGCCAGCAGTTGGCACATCTGGAGTTGCAGATGATGGTGGATTCATTGAAGCGAGGGTTGAAGTGCAGCCCCAGCTCACTAGGGCTCTTGCCAAGGTTAATCACAAAGCTGCGGGGTGGGAGCAGAGCGGGCATTAGAGACTCCCCCCACGGAGCCAGCATTGCTGCTACAGGAGCCCCACCCCTGCCCAAAGGAGGGCAGTTGAATTAGTTACACCCACCTCTCCTTTTACCAATTTCAGGGGGGGCAGAGGGCTCCATCCTGCCAGTTTTAAGGAGAGCTGGGGCTTCCGGGCCAAGCGCCATTTTCTCTGGAGGAAGGTCAGGCCTGTGGCTCAGGCACCGGCCTGGGACTCAGGAGACCTGGGCTCAGCTCCCAGCTCTGCTGCCGACACCTTTGCTGACCACGGGCAAGTCGCTTTAACCTCCGTGCCTCAGTTTCCCCATCCACGCACAGGGCCAGGACATTTGCAGAGCACTCAATTACAAGGTGATGGGGACTGTATAAGTACCAAGCCAGAGAGACGGACTAAAGGACTGATCTCTGCATCAGACACGGAAACTGGGGTGCTGCCCCCATCTCTGCAGCCCATGCCCCCCTCGTCTGAGACTGCTCTCTCACACTCACTTCTCAGCATCATTGGCGACCTTGCCCTTTATCTTCAGGGTGCTCCCTGCTTTCACGTCCAGGTTCAAGATTTCAAATTTCTCCTGCAGCAGAGAGACCTGACGTCATGAGACTCCCTGGGTGACCCATGCCCGCCCCCTGCCCCAAATTAAAAGGAACGAAGCTCAGCAATTCCACCTGAGCCGGGAGAGAGGCCGGGAGCAGGTCCCCTGCCCTCCAGTTGTCACCTCATGGCCCTGAGCCAGGACCATCCTGGTACCCCGCACTCCTTGCTTGGCGTAGGAGAGGAGTGGAAACCAGAGAGCTGGCAAGGGGAGGGGGAATGAACGACTGAGCAGGTGTGATGACAGCAGACACAAAGGCAGAAAGTGAGAGCCCACCGATACAGGAGACTAGCTGAGAGCAAGAAAAGGAAAGAGCTCACGGCGAAACACCGCAATCCTTACAGACATCCTCCTTGCTGGTGCTGGATAGCCGCGGCTGGGAGCTGCTGAGGATCTGGCGCAGGTACACCTCCCGCAGGAGATCTTATAGGCCTAGCGTCTCCGAGAGTTACACATTAACAGCTCTCTCCCACCTCTCCAGGCCATTGAGGAAGGCTGTAAATCAGGAAACTTTGACCCAAAGAATTATCTGCTCCCCAACTTCCTCTGACCAAAGAATTGACGTATCTTGATCAATACCCAACCCCGGCCTGGTTCCCTGATAAGGGATCAGCACTCTAATGACTCAGGAAAGTTCCTCCAGCTGCCTGACCCCGAGGGGGTTTAATCACTAAGGGACCTTATCATGGGGGTGCACTCACCACTAGAGGCGCCTCCTCCTGGCCACTCTGGGGATTAGCACTTCCCAGGTGCTGTGCCCTCCTCTGGCAGTCTTTCCACTCATCTATTTCTCTCACCCTGCAGCCCCTCTTGCTCCAGGAGCTGCAGCTTCCTGTTTGTGACTTGGCCCTGCGGCCAGGCCACTACGGTCCTCCACTTCTGGGGTATCAAAGACTTTTGGGGCAAACTGTTCCAGGCAGCCTGCTTTGCACTACCTCATCGGAGCCATTTCCCCCGTGGCTGGGAGGAGAACCCAGGCCTGCCCTCTAGTCCAGGTTCCGGCTCAGGGGCCCTCTCACCAGCAGCCAAGGTCTGACCTATCCCAGACCTTGCTGCCTTTCCCCCAAACCTCTCCTACCTTGCTGGCTTTCCCCACCTCCCTGGGTTTGCCAGCCCAAACTCCCACCTCCCAGGGAGTAACTGTGGACTACCCTCTGTATTCCCATCCATGCCTCCCTTCTTCCAGGCCGTGACTGCAGCCTACTTCCCTGCAGCCCCTTTCTGCTCCCCACTCCTGGGCTTTATACAGGTGCTTCCTGTTCCTGCCCAGAGGAGTCTCATCTAATTAATCCCTGCTCCCTGGCACCTCCTGCAGGTGCAGCCTGGGGAGTTCATTGGCCCAACTGCCATCTTAACCCCTCCAAGTCTTGTGAGGGGATGGAGACCCCCATGGGCGGCGTGTATAAGAGGCCAGGGGAGGTTAAACCTCCCCCCAAAAAGCTGGCCATGCATAGAGGAAATGCCACGGCAGCGTGGGTCACCCCTCCGAAGGCACGCTGGCCTGCCACCGCCTTTGGACCACCACAAGCGAAGCTCCATAGAAGTGGGGAGGAGGCACCGGCACCCGAACCATGACCCCGCCTGCACTCCACCCCGCCCTCACTCCGCCTCTTCCCCCAAGGCCCCGCCCTCACTCCGCCTCTTCCCCCAACCGCCGCTCGCTCATCTCCGCCCTCTCCCCTCCATCGCTCCCCTAAGGCAGGACTCCCGTTCTGGGAAGGGGGCAGAGAGGAGCGAGTGGCGGGTGGGAGACCTTGGGGGAGGGGGCGGAGAGGAGCGAGCAGCGGGGGAGGTCTCAGGGGAAGAGGCGGAGAGGAACAAGTGGCAGTGGGCAGGGCCTCGGGGGGAGGGGCAGGAAAAGGCGGAGCGAGGATGGGGCTTCGGGAGGGAGAGGCCAAGCGGAGGTGGGGCCTTGTGGGCAGGGCCACAGTCCAGGTGCCGGTGGCCCCCCACACTTCTAGAGAGCTCCCAATCCCTCACACCAAAAATCACAATATTCAGGTTATTCCCAGTCCCAAAGGACCAGTCACTTACCCCAGGTCAACTGCACTTAAGATCTTATACCAAAGATCACACTTTAATAAACTAACCTATAATAAACTAATTACAAATGTATTAACTAAGAAAAAAGTAGTAAGGGAGTTATTGACAAGGTTAAAGCAGGTAAACACACACGAGTGAATAACGTAGCTGAAGTCGACGTACTTAGACCTACTCTCCGCGGTGTCTTCACTGCGGTGAGTCAACTGCTGCCGCTCCCCTGTCGACTCTGCCTGCGCCTCTCATGGTGGTGGAGTACAGGAGTCCACGGGAGAGCGCTCGGGGGTCAATTTATCACGTCCAGACTAGACGTGATAAATCGACCCCCCGCTGGATCGATCGCTGCCCACCAATCCGGCAGGTAGTGTAGACATACCCTAAGATGCGGGGTGTAGTCTCACCTTTAGCTGGAGATCAGGCTGGTGGAGGATCAAGTCTCTGGCCCCAAAAGAAGTCCCAGCACATGATAATCTCGTTCTGGTTCTTTCTGGGTTTGTGAAGGTGAGTCACAGGGGAATTGCCACTGAAGGGCATCTGCAAAGGAGGAAGATGGTCTGTGCAATGAGCTGGGGGGGACAGAAGGGAGGATGGGAGTGTGTGGGGGAAAGGAGGAAGCAGCTCTAAGGGAAGGGAGGAGGATACCAATTGAGGGTGACCATGTCGGCCAGCACAAACCAGGCTGCAGCCCCCAATGGTGGGGATCCAGCAACCCGAGCTGCCCATACACCTGACTCCACCAATGCCTGGATCAGTGTATCTCCTGGGCAGCCTCCTCCAGGCCACACCCTTTTGGATGCCTGGTGGAGGGCAATGGGCCTACCACTGGCTGCCCCCTCCTGGTGGTAGGGGGCATGAATGCCCCCTCCCTGGACACAGAGTGTGCATGCAAACTGCACCCAGGTGCGGGTGAATCCAGCCCCACCCTGTGGGAATCGTGCCTGGAAGGAGGCCCCATGAATGGCAGGAAGCGTTTAACCCACTTGAGCCACAGGAAGCCTATCCTAACCAAATGTGCGCTTTGCAGCTGCAGGTATGGTCACGGACAGCAGAGGGCGCTGTGCAGCACGATGCAGAGCCCTCGCCCCAGAATGACTAACTGTCACGAGCCGCCATACACGCCTAGCGAGGATGAGCCAGGCTTTCAACAGGATGTGAGTCTGCAGTTCAGCGCAGCTAAAATGGGACAATCAGATGAGAGGTGGGGGACCTAACTGTCATATGGAAAAGAGCATGGGCGTTAATACCATACTAATGACCACAACTTACATTTATAAGTGTTCATCCCAAAGGGCTTTACAAACTGTACATAGGAATCACAACACTGAAAGGCAGCCACCTCTGGGATGGAACAGGGCAGCTGATGAACAATGAATGGCAGCAATAGTTCTGGACAGGAAGGGGAGGAGAATACCATTTCTAAAGAGAAAAGCAGAGAATGCATTTACTAAATTGGAATTTGACCTGGGAACTGAGATTAACATCCCTATAAGATTACCTAACCTCTAGCTTTGAGGAGATCTCTTAGGCCCTTGGGAATGCTGGGGACTGGTTCAGTGCAGACTCAGAGGGAAGAGCGCCCCCTAGTAAATCACCAGCACCATTTCCTCTGCACGGCCTGGTCTACAAACAAACTTGCACTGAAATCACAAAAGTTGTAACTGAAACCTGGTTCCATTATTTCTGTGCCAGGCTGTGTGTGGACCAGGCCTAAGTGCCTGTTCAAGATACTAAAAGAGCTGGAGAGAAGACACACTCTTGCTTGGAGTCGCAGTCATTCATATGACGTTATTTCCTAGTACTTAAAATAATGTTTACTCCGTGACAAGATGCTACCCTTTACCCAGCAACTGTTTATTTCCCTGAATAGGCTCTTGGGAAGGATTTCAGCAAGTGATTTTTAAAAACCCAAATAAAAATCAAGAAGCCACATGATTTAAGCAAGGCCTGGGAGCAAGAAGTCCTCAGCTCTGAGCCTGGCACTAACAGTGATTCCCCGTGATGGCCTTGGGCAAGTCACTTCTCTTCTCCGCAGGAACGGATCTCCACTTAAAATTTAGGTCAACATAGCTTTGGCGTTCAGGGTGTGAAAAATCCACCCCAACCCCACCCTGAGCACTGTAGCTAAGCCAACCTAACCCCAGGTGTAGACACTGTTAGGTCAGTGGAAGAATGTTTCCATCAACCTAGCTACCTCACTTAGGGAGGTGAAGTCCCTACTGCAACAGAAAAACCCCTTCCATCACTGGAGTCCATGTCTACGCTATGGGGTTATCGCGCAATTGCTATGCCGCTATAGCACCCATAGTACAGATGCGGCCTCAGTTTCCCCTAGTATAAAACTGGGACAGTATTGCTCCCTTGTCTCACCAGGGCGTGGTGAGGATTTCAGTGAGGGAGTCCCAGTTTTCAGAAGGGCTAAGCATGCACCACTGCAGCTGAGATCGACGGGAGACGCGTTCAGTCCCTACTAGTCTGTCTAGAATAGATCCTTTCAGGCCGTACTATCTGACCGCCTGTGCATTAGAATGGGTGAAGCTGGGAAGAGGAAAGGTGCTCTGCAAAGGCTAAAGACAATGCGATTATCTCCCCACCTCATAAGATTGTCATAAATTCCCCCCCCCCCCCCCTTCACAAAACCTCCCCGAACAGGTAAGACGGGAACAATTTTCCCTTTGCAGAGCGGTATGGGTTTGATTCCAATCAGATTAGATTCCTACCTTCACCCAGCCCAGCCCTAAACCCTACAGATCAGCCAATTTGCTAAAGGAGGGAGGGACGGACAGGGGAGGGCTAGAAGCAAAAAACGTATTTAGATAAGCCAAACGATGGCACGAGCGGGTTGGCTTATCTAAATATATTTGGTTGGCTAACCAGGCCCATGCATTTGGGGGGTGGAGGGGTGAACACCAAGGACAGAAGGGGATCATGCAGGGTGGTAGAACAAGGCCAGGAAACAGCTCTTGCAGGGGAGATTTGTCAGGCTGTGGACCTCAGGGAAGGGGTGCTGGTCCCGTCACCTGGATCATTGGACTAGACAAGGCACTGGAGAGCAGAGTGTAACTGCCAGCCCACCCCCTCATTCACATTGGCCCTGCTGCTGGGGTGGTACAAGGCCTCTCCAGGGACCGGGTGCAATGGCACGCACGCTGCGAGGTTGGAGGAAAGGGCTGCAGGTGCTCGTCAGCCCCATCCGTGGCCCCACGAAGTCGCGAGACCTCCTCGTCAACCTCCTCCTGGCCCTGGCCAAACTCTCCATCTACACTACCAGGAGGACGATGCTAGACAAGGGGGTGCTCTGCGACTGTGGGGCCTGTTTCCGTTCCTCCCTAGTTTCACGCATCCGGGCAGAGTTCCACTGGGCAGCATCCGCTGGCTCCCTCGACACCTTTGAGGAGCAGTGGGCGCTGTCCGGGGTTCTCTGCTCGGTGTCCCCATCCGGTACCCTCGTTTTGAACCTATGACCTTCACCTCAGTCCCTGTTTTTCTCATTTGTTGTTCCCCGTACTCATTTGGTCCCTGGGTCCAGTGGTCCCTCCCGCTAGGCTGGGGGAGGGGCCTTTAGAAGTGGGCGGGCGCAAGGGTTTTCCAATAAGACAAGCACCGGGTAGGTTCTCAACAAGGCCCCTCCCAAGGGCCTGGTAAGAGGAATGCTTGTCCTCAGAGTCAGGCCTTCCCACTGGCAAAGGGGAGAATGCACAGGTTGCTCCCTGGCTCTCCGGCTCTGCCTCACCCACTCAGACGGGATGCGACACTGCCAGGCAAAAGGAGGGGAGAAGAAACCTATTCACAGTGCTCCGGGAGGAGAGGAAGCCTTGAGATACCCTGCACTTCCCTAGCACCTTTCATCAGATCTCTGTACAAAAGTAAAGGCACTGTCACCGCAGCCCTGGTGGAAGGGAAATATTAGCCTCCTCTTTAGCAGATGTGGAAACTGAGGCACATGACAACGTCAGGCCTACCATTTGAAAAGTGCCCAGGGATTTTGGGTGCTCCACTTGAGACACACTGGGCCAGATTTTCCAAAGAGCTCAGCCCCCAGCATCTCCCACGTGCTGAGCGGTCTGGTTTTGCAAATCTGCCCTAGGAGCCTAAATAGGAGCCAAACTCTTTGAAAATCTGGCCCAGACAAGCTGGCGTTCAGAGTAGCCGACCACTCCCAACTCCAGTTGAGGCCAACAGGAATGGGAGATGCTCGGTGCCTCTGAAGATCAGTCCCCTGGTGTC